TCAGCTCCGGGGCAACGGTGCACGATCTGTAACCACAGCACCGTCTGTCCATTCTAGGACGTGGAGCAACAGCTATCATCCTGCAGCACCCACTGCTCGGCTTCCTCTGGGCCAGTACCAGGCAGTGGGTGCTGGTGTGGACTGAGGCCCACAGCTCGGTGCTGGATAAACAGATCCGCCGATGGCCAAGCACCACGCTGCCAGTTACTTAGCCCCAGGACCCGCAGTGCCCCACCTGTCAGTGGAGAACGTGAGCCAAGCGCCTACGGTCGTGGGCCCTGCGTGTCCCATGCATCTTGACACCTGTCAGTCTGCGTGGGGCTGCAGATAACCTGCCATGGGAGGGTAAAAGCCACTCTAAAGTACTTCTTATTACTGCTTTTATTGTACAACTATTTGTCGCGTTAGGAAATTGTGAGTATGGGTAGTGTGTCGTCCAAGGTAGGATTTTCTTTTCTATTAGAACCCCGTGTTATTCAAAATGAGAAAGCATTGATTTATTCTGTGACACTTTTCATCAGTTAGGAACCAACTCAGGAAACTTTTTCTCATATCTTTTCTTTCAGGGAAAGACAGATTTGGTAAGAGGTCTTCCCCAAAGCAACATTTGGAAATACGCTGGGCCAGACACACACACTGAACTCAGTCACTGTCTTCTGTATTTTCTTCTTCAGACACCACAAGGCAAGTGTCAAAATACCAGGTGTGTCCCGTATGACTCGCATGGATTGAAATACGCTGTTTTCCAGGGCAGGGAACAGACCGATGTCGTTAAGAATTCCATCATCCAAGTTTCATTTTGTTTGCACAGGACGGGCAACCAACGGAGAAAGCTGATCAAGACACACAGGTGTTGGGACAGGGCTACAAAGGCAGGACAACGGAAGACAAGGGACAGAGTCCCCCGCTGGCGGTGACTTTCGGAAAGCTCACAGATCTGGAGCTGATCACCTACAGAATGGGGATCCTGTACCTGCCCGGCTGGACTGTTTAATCCACACTCTGAAAATTAAGTGCCTTAAAACACTCAAGTTGAGTTTAAAAATGAACTGTGGGAGGATGGAGGAAGACAGGCAAGAGGATTCTTGGGGCAGCGAAACTTCTATCGTACCATTTCCCCAAAGCCAACGCTGCACAGCACCGTGCATTCGGCCTGACCACACGTGTCCACGTGGGAAATGCTGACCATGAGGGTGGCTGTGCGTCTGTGTGGGGCAGCAGACACAAGGGAGCGGCTCCACTACCGACCAGTTCTGCTGTAAACTGACTGCTGTAACAGTCTCTTAAAGCTGACTTCATACACAGTCACACACGCGCGACTGATGGCTTCTGACAAATGTGAACATTTAAGAAACTGAACTCTTTATTTAACACCAAAGCTAATATCAAGTGTTTATTTAAAAAAATAATGGCACCTGCTTTGAATTTACTGATGACACCACCACAGGGTAAAACTCCATGGAATCACAATTTTAGGCTGACACGAAACTACATTGTATCTCACAAAAGAGAAATTCTGCAGCAGATTCACACCCAACACTCCAGCTCCTACTTTCAGAACTATTTGCCTAAATGCATCTTTGACACATAGCGCATTTGGTCAAAACATTTCTCTTAGGACGAACACAGCAGACATGCTTTAAATAAATTAAAACTGCAAAACAGAAATCATTCCTAAAACAATCAAGGTATATGACGTTCTTGCTTTTTGTTGTTTGAGACAGGGTCTCTCTTTGCAGTTCAGGCTGGCCCTGAACTTACTATGTAGCCCAGGCTGGCCTTGAACTAAGAGACCCTCCTTCTTCAGCCTCTCCAGTGCTAGAATTACAGGCATGCACAACCACTCTCAACTTTCTTGCTTCTTATATTCAGAGAATTGTACTGACTTCGGAAGATGGTAGGTTAGTCCTGCTTATCTTTTGGGGAGAGGGTTGTTCTTTGAGACAGGGTCTCACTATGTAGTTGAGACTGACCTGAAACTCACTCTGTAGCCCAGGCTGGTCTCGAACTCACAGCAATCTTCCTGCCTCAGCCTCCCGAGTGCTGGGATTACAGGTATGCGCCACCACATCCCGCAGTCCTGCTTATCTTATAGGTTACTAAGGTCCTACTAACTATATTTTTTTGGTTAGCTTTTTTTAAAAAAATCTGCTCTTTTGGTAAACAGGACAATCTCATCTTTCTCAGTGACTTATCCTCTTAGACCCATTCTCTCCTCAGTCATGCGGAACCTTCTAAAGTAGCTCTCTGGATAAACCTTGAATTCTTACGCCTCAAAATTCAGAAACATGCAAAATAGGTCATCTAATCACACAAGTCCTTATTAACAAGCCTATTTCAGTGTTTTCCGCAACCAACACAACTCTACCTGGATTTAATACAAAAATGCTCCACTTCAGTGCAAAATAATTTGGTGTTTAAAACTCAACCAGAAAGGACAAAAATAATTAGTTGCCCAGGGAAGCCGTTCCTCCCCAGGACTGAACCTGTAACTAGGCCTGATACGCTTGAGGTGGGGGCAGACAGGAAAGCAAGAGACAGCGCGGGACTGCGGATGGACAGAGGACGACAGCATAGCACTGGCTAAAAGCAAAAGGCCAAAAGGTTCAGGAGACCTCAGCTCACGGAGGGGCGGGGAGGGGAACACAGACTGTGGGTCAGGAAGCTGGGAAGGGCTCTGTCCTCTGCCCTGAGCCAGCAGGGAGCAGTGAGCTGCTGCTTGGTTGTGGGATTGGTTTTGTTTTTATTTAATGGGTGGGGGATCTGTTCTGGTGTAATCACACTCAAAATACGAGCGGAACAAAACCCAGAGAAGTTTTTAAATCCTCAACAAATTGTCCTTTTCCTGGCGATCATGATAAGTCACCAGAAAAGCCAGTGCTAGAATCTTAAATCATTCAAAATAATGCATCACAGGCTGCCCAGTTGCGTATCCGTCCAGCTGGTTTACATCTTCAGCCAAGCGCGAGATGTTTTTTGTTGTTTTTTTAACCAATGAAAGGTGGTGGGTTGACTTAGATGTAAATTAAACATCCAATTCCAGGATATGTCACAGCTGTATCACTGGTTTTAATTGTATGTTTGTAAAAATTTAAGTTTGCCTGCTGCATTGAAAAGGAGGAGGTGGAGTCCTAAGAAGAGAATAATAAACAGCAGAGTAAAAGTCTCCTTGAAGTGTCAAATCTTATCAAAAAGTAAAAAGCTTCATACACTTTCCACAAGGCCCTAAAACAGATACACCATGTAGGTCGTGCGTCTGCAAGTGAAACAAGGTTATCCGCAGGTAGGGAGTCAACAGAAGAATTCACCATCAGGCTGGAGTTAGGGCTCAGGGCGGCGGGGATTCAGGGTTTCAGAGGACAGCGGTTTCTGCGAAGAGCTCCAAGCTGAGGGCCGGAGGACACTGCTTCCCCTTCTCTCTGATGCTCTTAGGAGCAGACAGACTGATTGATCGAGGGCCTGAGAAGGGCCAGCCAGAGCAGGTGACAAGGCCCTGCACGGAGGGAACGGTGTGACTTCCGTCAGGGGCTGCGAATCTCAGCCCCTCCGCACTGCAGCAGCACCTACGCGCACCCAGGGCAGGAGCCCAAAGTATCCCTGCCAGGACCCCTGCAGACCCCAGCCTGGCTCCAGCAGCTAAGTGACAGCATCAGATGTCCACAGGGCAGGGGCATGCGCTGGCAGAGTCTGGGACAGAGCAGCACACGGTTCCTCCTCTCCTCCCTGCTCTTATCTAGGTCTCGGGGTACAGTCATCTCTGGGGGCCACAGAGTCTCGGGGCAAGAGCCGTGCGGTGGGGGAGGGGGCCCTTTTCCCCTGGTTCCCAAATACTTTCTAACCACAGATTTCACGAAATGATGTGCATTACTTTAAAAAGCTGAAGTCTGGAATCGGGTAGGGGTGATGTTTGAAGGGTTTGTGAATTTACAACTACTGAATTGCACATTAAAAAAAAAAGCTTGAGTTGTATGAATCTCACACGTACACGCTGGGCCTGTCCTAAACCCAGCTCCTCCATTCCCTCGAAGCACAGCACACTCGGTCAGTCACATTTTGCGTCCCCAGGCGATTTCCCTAAGAAAGCTCTTTGCAAAATATTGCACTTAATTTAAATCCAGGAGCCCTGGCTTCTCCAGGAAGAAAACATACAGGAACTGGCGTCCTTACACCTCTGGTGAACGGTGGGGGCGGCAGGAGGAGGGAGGGGCCGGATCAGCAGCTTCCTCGCTGTGACGTCCTTGGTCTTGAGCACCGAGGGAGGCCGGGCTGTGGGCAGGGAGGCCAGGGGCGGCCCCCCAGGCGGGCCACAGACCCAGCAGTCCGGTGCTTCCCCCAGGGGCAGGGCCCAGCCAATGCCCATGGGACCATCCCCGTACAATCCCGAGTGACAGGACGTAGCCCCACCCACTCGTGCTGGCCGTTCCCATCAGCCTCTCCTCCTCCGCCTGGTGAAAGGTTCCTGCTACACTCCTCCGCCCCAAGCAGCCAAAAGCGTTCCCATCTCAGTGCGCCTCAGCTTCATCAGAAAATACGACTCTGGTCCTTCTTCAAGGAAAAAAACCCTCCAGTGCTGCTTTTCACTTCCCAGGTCCTCACAGTGAATTACATAAAGGGAATCACATCTGAAAAGGGTTTTTGTTTTTTTAATCACAATCAAGGTTTGCCAAAACACAAACCTCGGACTAGTTAGCGCTCACAGGACCCCGAATTAACAAAGCACAGTTGGGAGAGGTATGCACTGGAGGCGGGACTTGTGCCAACCAGAAGGTGAAACCAGGGGTGTGGTTCCCTGGGCGTAAGAAGGGGAAGGCCCCCTCCTAGGTCCCAGAGCCTCCCACTTAAAGTGCACCCAAACCTGCGACTCGGACGGCTAGGTAAGGGGTATACCGTGAGATTTCCATGTGATGCGGTCGCACACAAGGGCGAGGCTG